CGTTGCGGTAGATGGTCTTGACCTTGAAGTCGATGCCCACAGTGCTGACGAAGGCGGGTGTGAAGGAGTCATCCGCGTAGCGGAAGAGGAAGGACGTCTTGCCCACGCTGCTGTTGCCAATGATGAGGATCTTGAACATGTAGTCGAAGTTCTGATCCGAGGACTCCTTCTGCCCATAGCGGGAGTCTGTGGCGGATGCCATCTGGGGGTGCGGGTTGAAGGACAGCATGAGGGGGCTCTCTCCATCCCCAACTTCCCAAGCCCAGGATGGAGAGTTGCAGAAGAGTACCACAGTGGTGTTGGGAGACCACACTTAAATCATCAGGGGCCCCAGTATTAATGGGGTTGCCCCAGCAGAAGCCTAGCTGTGACCTTGAAAGGTCCAAGATTTCAAAGGAGGAGAGCGGATGGGGCCACCCCTGCAGCCCCTCCATCAGGCTTGCCCCAGGTCAGAACTGTAACCCTAAACCCTATGGCTCTACTCTGAGGGGTGACTGTTGCCGGCCCCCCCCCCCCCCCCCCCCCATCAATCTTTCATGGTCCTCAGAACCGGGCTGCACGTGCACAGGAATGTATGGCCCGCGGGTGGCGGGGTGGCGCGTCTGCAGCTCCCCTTCCCCCAAATGCCAAGGCAGGGAGAACTCAGGCCAGAACAGTTGCATCACGTGACCGTGGTGGGGCGTGTACAGACTCAGGTGTCCACAGTCCCGCACACATCCGCACACATTCGTCCACGCTCAGACATAAACGAGTGTGCCAACACCAGATACACAGGGCAGAGCCGCAGGCACCTGTGTGCACACCAGTTCACATATAAAGATGTGCAAACCCACCCCGGCGCACGGCCCCCGGTTCCCCTGCAGGTGTGTGCACATCACCCACAGGGACACAGATCTTTGTGCACCTATGCACAGAGCCCAGCGCGAACACTCACAGTCCGTGAATTTCCCTCCGCACTCGTGCGGCACGCACATACTTAGACCCAGATCACACGGAGTCACGTGAACGTACCCAGGAACACACGCAAGTGTACACAGACCCGCTGACACAGTCGGGCGCGCACACGCGTGTGCACACCACGCGCACGCGCACGCAAGAGCCTCCCGCGCGCACAGCTCCCGCAAGGCACTCGCCTCCCCTCCCCCTCCGCCGCAGCGCCTGGGGGTTGGGGGTACTGTGAGGATCGGACAAGTTGGGGGACCCTCGGACCTACCCCTTCCCAGGCCCCCCACCGCCGCTCCTATCCCCCCATTCAACCCTGGTCAACCCCCTTCCCCTCCGCCAGCCCATCAGTCAAATGAAGGTTATGCAGGTGCTCAGAGCGGGAGCACAGAGGGACGCCCGGGAGCTCACCTTGCCCTGCACCAATGTGGCAGCGATCCGAGTGGCGGTGACTTTTGGGCGGTGGCGGTGACGGGGACCCCCAGTGAGCTGATGTGGGGCTGCGCGGCGGCGGCGGCGGCAGCGGCAGCGGCTCAGGCCCCTGCAGTCCTTGGTGACGTCCTGCAAAGAGTGGGGCGGGGCCGCACATGCAGATACGGTCGTGACGCCATCGGGGCGGAGCCGCGCATGGAGATATGCCCACCGAATCTTGCAGAACCAGAAGGGGCGGGGCCCCGCGCAGATTGACGCTTGAATGGGGCGGGGCCAGATGTGTACATGCTGTAGGGGCGGGCGCGGTTCCAGCTCCTGCTCCGCCTCTTGTACTGTCCAGGAAGGCGGGGCTGATTAGAGTCCTCTCATTGGCTTAAATACTTGAGCGACGGACAATACAGCCAATCAGTGACTGTTGACTCCCTTCTCCTGTCCAATGGAGGCTTTTAGGTTTTTGAAGGGCCGAGAAGCTGAGGCCTTGACTGAGCCCTGGTTTTGGGGGGCGGTTCGCTTCTCCTTCAACGCCCACCCAGCTCCGGGTCGCCTACAGCCCCTGCCTCGTCCCAAGTGCTGTGATTTCCTGTTAACTGTCCCCTACTATCATTTTCAGAAAAGAGGAACTGGGATCCGAGAGATGCTCCATGGCCCCTCAATTTTTAGGGTTCAAATTAAATAAAAAAGGAAAAAAAGGAGGAGGATTTAAGAGAGACCCCAGTCCAATTCCCAAAGTGTAGGACCTCTACTGAGGACCGGGCTGTCAGGGGCGCACCCCGCCCCTGTTTACGAGATTAAAAGAAGAAGAAATAGGGTCAAAAGAGCCACCCCTCCCCACCATCTCCCAGAAAAGGAAGGACCGAGGACGCTCCGACACTCTTCCCTTCCCTGGGCCCCATTATCGAGAGAAAAATTCGAAGAAAAGACAAAATAGGGTCAGAGACGTGTCCTGTCCCCTAAACCTCCAAAGCCTGCGGTTAAAAACAAAAACAAAAACAGAAAGCGGGGAAGGTACAAGAGGGTCTCCCCCAGCCCTTCACTGACTCAGGTGCTCAGACTTGGGGGACTGGGCGACCCCTGCCTCCCAGGGGAGATGCAGAACCGGGAGGCCAACGTCTCCCTCGCGTGTCCCTTCCAATCTTCAGGGGGGAAAGTCAGGATTTCGGGGAGGGGAGCCCCAGCCCCCACTGTGGGTCTCCTGTCCCCACTCACTCTGGTCCTCAAACAGCAGGGGACATGTGGCCCCCAAGAGAGTCCAGATCCCCTGGATCCCCACCCCAGGAGGAGGAGCTGGGGATGGGGCGGGGTGGGGGCGGGGAGGACTCATCCTGTTTATAAAAAGCTCCCAGCTGCGGAGGCGCCGCGACCAGAATAACTTCGCGCCAGGAGGCTGGGGGGGCTCCGCCCCCGAGCCCAGCCCGCCCAGCGCCGAGGAAGGACTGGGACGACCCTCCCCCTCCGTTTGCATTTGGGAAATTTATTTTTCTCCAAGGGTAACGTGTGTTTGTCCCCCTCTCCCACTTGGTCTATGAAACTATCACAGACCCACTGCAGAGAACTGGGAAAATACAGAAAAGCAACAACAACAACAAATAAAGAACAGGGAATCCAGCTCTCTGCTCCGCAGCTCCCTGCCCACGCGGAGACCCTCAGTCAAGTCCGCCCTCTGGGTGGGGACGCGGTGTGGGGGCCCCCGGGCTGGAAGTGAGGACAGCGACGCTGCTCAGCTTCCAGACTTCCCGGACGGACGCCGCTGCGCGCTGCCTACACGGTGGCTCCCAGAAATACCCGTCCGTAGGAGAATGCGCACTAGCTCCCGCACTGACTTTGTATTTTAAAATAACAGCCGGGCATGGCGGCGGGGCCAGGAATCCCAGCGAGGCAGGAGGGTCACATGTTCGAGGCCAGCCTCTATAACTTAGCGAGTTCCTTAGTGAGACCCTGTCTCAAAAGAAAGATAAAAAGCACTGGGGATGTGACTCAGTGGCCAAATGCCTCCAGGTTTAATCCCCAAAACTAATAACAACAACAACAACAAGATCTTTATATTGAGGCGCATTCTGGGGCTGGGGATGCAGCTCAGTGGCAGAGCGCCAGCCTAGGCTGTGTGAGCCCCTGGGATCCAGCCCCAGCAAACATGAAAGGGAAGGAAGAGAAGAAAGAATCAGCCCTTCCTGAGCTCTGAATGGCAGAGGTTGGGGTCCCCAGCAGTTAGACTGTGACACTATATTATACTGTTCAGGGAGGTTAGGTGAAGAAGGGCCCCCTCTGGGAGAGCTCAAAGGACACCCCCTCTGTCCCCTAGGAGCCCTCTCCAGCTCTGGGAGGGAAGGGGGACAGCGATGTTTTCTCTCTTAACTGAGGCCCTGAGAGTCGCCCCAGGAGTTCACAGGGCTGAAATTCCAGGGGCCCCCCCAGCCCTTCTCTGACCCTCCTCTTTGGGTCTAGGATGGGCCATAAAGGCAAAGACTGTGACCCTTGGGAAGAGTCCCAAGCAGGAGCGAGACCTGGGGTGTGAGTGGTTTCATCTGCCTCCTCTGTGGGCCTCGGTTTCTACATCTGTGATGTGGGAGACTGAGGCCAGTTGGTTTGTCCTCTGGGGATCACTGTGTACTGGCTCAGGACACATTCGCTTCAAAAGCTGTCTGTTATAATTACGTGATCCTGGCAAAGAGATCATTTTACCGGTAAAAGACTAAGACCCAAGAAGTTTAAAGGACTTATTGAGGCTGGGCACAGTGGCATATCCCTGTAGTTGCCGCAACTAGGGAGGCTGAGGCAGGAGGATTGCAAGTTTGAGGCTAGCCAATGCACGTTTGTGGGACACTGTCTCAAAATAAAAACTAAAAGGGCTGGGGTGGAGCTCAGTGGTAGAGGCCCTGGGCTCAATCCCCAGTGCCATAAATAAATAGATAAAGCCCTTCCGGAGTTGCAGAGCACAGCAGCAAGGTGGGCAAGGCAGACCTGGCCAAGGCCTCTGGGGAACACAGACTGGAGCATAGCAGGCTCGAGTCAAAGAATCAAAGACCTGGGAGGGCTTCTAGGAGGGGACCATGCACAACTGAGACCCAAAGGGTGAGGGTGGGGACTAGGAGGGACGCTGCTGATGGTAACTACTGAATATGCAGAAGCCCTAAGGGGGACAGAGCCAGGTGTCTGCGAGGCAGTGGGAATTGAGTGGAATCAGTGAGAGCGAGACAGAGGGATGCCCTGGGGCCCCAAATTGGAAGAGCACATATGATTTTTAAAATTTATTTGTACTTATTTATTTAGGTACCAGAGATGGAATCCAGGGGTGTTTAACTACTGAGCCACATCCCCAGCCCTATTTTGTATTTCATTTAAAGACGGGGTCAGTTGCTCAGCACCTCCCTGAATTGCTGAGGCTGGCTTTGAACTCGAGATCCTCCTGCCTCAGCCTCCTGAGCCACTGCACCGGCTTCAATTTATTTATTTATTTATTAATTATTATTTTTTGCGGTACTGGAGATGGAACTCAGGGCCTCCAGCACCCTAGGCAAATGCTCTGCCCTTGAGCCCCACCCCCAGCCCCATGTGCATGTTGTCATAAGCAGGTGGAGAAAAGACCAGAGGGAAATAAGTAGAAATACTAAAGGAAGACTATCGACAGCTTTGGGATTGTGGTAATACTTTATTTTCTTCTTTATGTTTCATTATTCCCAAATTCGCTGCAGCAGAGACATACTACTTTGTAAGGAGTGTGGAGAGAGAACATTTTGAAATCAAAGTCCCCTAAGTCTCTGCCTTTGGAAAGTCTGGAAGGAAGCGGGTGGAGCTCAGCGGTGGGGCGCTTGCTGGGGAGCCCTGGGGTCCATCCCCAGCACTGAAAGAGAGGACACAGGAAAATGTGCAGGGACTCCTACCAAGTTCACGACCCCAGATGCCTTTTGGTTCTTCCTGGGTGGAAGCCGAGCGCTCTTGGGAGCTGGAGAGTCGCCAGTGGTCATAATATTTACGAAAGAAGCCGCTGTTCCCCCCGCGGGGGCTGCGGCGATGACGCGCATCGTGTATAAATTTGCAGGGTGGGGGCGGGGAGGATACTGGCTGCTTCTGGAAGGATTGCAAGACAGGCCCCCACCTGAGCCCTGAGCACAAAGCCGGTAGGACGCCCGTTTGCCCAGGACGAGCTGGTCCCCGCCAAGCTCGGAGGACCGCGGAGCTCGCCTGCCCCGCCCGGTGCACCTCCCGCTCCGACCGCCAGGGGGCGCCGCTGGCTACTCGCTTCAGGGCTGTGTGGCCTTGAGCAGGCGACAGGGCTGCTCTGTGTCTCATTCCCCATTCATGAAATGGGCCATGCGCTTTTTTATGGTACTAGGGATTGAACCCAGGGGTGCTCTACCACTGAGCTGCACCCCCAGACCTTTTTATTTTTCTATCTCGTCACAGGATCTCTCTAATGACCCAGTCTGGCCTCAGACTCACAACCCTTCTGCCTCAGCCTTCTGAGTCCCTGGGATTGCAGGCGTGGGCCACCACACCTGGATAGGACACTCATTTTGTAAATTAGGGTGTCTTAAAGTCTGGAGGGTTTACTGAGCCCCAGAGAGATGCTCACTGCTGCCCGGGTCGGAGATCTTTTAGGAATGTCACGGTCACCACACCCTCCACCGACCTTTAGCAGGGGCCCAGAAGGAGCTAACAATTGCAAGAAAGCAGCACAGGACTCCCTCCCTCTGGGGACAGAGGATCAGGAGACACAGAGGCGAGCTGTACAGGGTGGAAATTCTGCAGTTCTGTTGTTGTCAAGAAAGAGACCATGGGTTGGGGGGGAACCCAGCGTAGGGAAGCAGAGGGAGCAGGAGACACGCACACCCGGAGGCAGGGAGTCAGAGAACCCAGAGGCTGATGGGCGGGGAGGAGCTGGGTGGTAGAGTGCCTGCCTGGCCCGAGCAAGGCCCTGTGGTCCATCCCCAGCAACAGGAGAAGAAAAAAAAAAAAAAAAAAAAAGCAACCTTTTGAACAAGTGCTATGCAGCTTAAATCAGCCTTCAGAGACGGTCCCCAACAAGAGCCTCCCTTTTCCTATGCCTCCACCACAGCTTCAGGGCCAGAACTGGGTCTCTGTGGGGTGCTGACTCCCTCCCTACCTTGTGCAGGGCTACCCCAGAAGCACAGAGCAGGCACAGGCCTGACACATAGTAGCTGCTCAATAAATACATGGAAAGAAAGAAAGAATTAAGTGATAGATGTGGTTCAAGAATGACTACTGGAGAAGGTGGACAAGGGCCTGGCAGACCCCCTTTTCCATACTAGGGATAGAGGTCCAGAGGGAGAGCCAAGGGCGCTGTAAGAGGCTGCCCCCGTCCAGCCCCGTAGAGCCATTTCAGCCGAACCTGAGGTCAGAGTGGACCCCAGCCTCCATTGGACCCTGAGACCTACCTATCACTAAAAAGTTGGTTGTCTGACTCAGCAGGTGGGAACGTGAAGCAAGGGCCCCCTGGAACCTCCTTCTGGAAAGTTCACCCACCAGGGCCGTTGGGTGCCAAAGGGCTTGGTCATTACTTTGCCCCGTGGTCACGCAGGGCCTGCCTGGAATCTCCTGGCTGTCGAGGGGCAGGGCCCCCCAGGGCCTGGGGTACTGGCGCTAAGTGTCAGGTGACCCCGAGGGCTCCCTCTCCAGGGCTTCCTCCTCCTCCTCCTCCTCCTCCTCCTCCTCCTCTGCTTCCTCCAGAGCGAGGTGGAACTGGAACCTGTCGGGGGCCCCCCGCTCCGAGCTGACCGCGGTGTCCACGGGGCTGCGGGGGATCTTGCTTTGGTACCACTCTCGGTTGTCCTCCAGCGTGTCCAGCAGGTCCTGTGCGTCGGGGTGGACCAGGTCAGCCCACGTCTCCCACAGCGGGTGGGCGATGTAGTCGATGAAGCCCACCTGGGGTGGCACAGGCAGGTGGCAGTCAGGCCTTGGGCCGTGTCTGTCCCTCTTCCTGGACGTCCATTCCCCACTCCTGGTAAGCCTCCAAAGCCTCTTCAGACGCCCCCCCGAGGGCAGGACGGAGCTGTGCCTGGTCGGGGACCCCAGGCTGGCCCAGCTCCGGCTTTCCCTCCCCCACCCCCGCGGGCCAGGCTCGGCCACCCTCAGACCTGGGACTTCTCCACCGAGGCCGTGTGCTTGTCGCACATGGGGCTGATGTCCAGGCCCGACTCGCGCTCCCGGTCACCCTGCTGGAAGAACTCGGCCATGATGCGGTCCGTCCACTGGCGGTACAGGGGCAGCGGCTTGGTGGGGTTGCTGAGGTCAGCACAGTGGACAAGGTTCTGTAAGACCTGGGGGGTCAAGACAGGAGGGCACTGGCCGGACCCGCCACCTCCAAACCTGCCCAGGCCCGGGCCTGACACATAGCAGCTGCTCAATAAATACAGGGAGAGAATTTAAACTTAGGTGATAATTGATTCTGTGGTTCAAGAACGACTTCTGGAGAAGGCGGACAAGGGACTTGTGGGACCCCCCCATCCCTGTGCTAGGGATAGAGGCCCCTGAAATGCTCCGAGCCACAGACACCATCTTGCAGGTGGGGAGCAGTCCTGGGAGGAGAAGTGGCCACAACAGAGACATGTGACATTATTTCTTCAGATTTGGCATACAGTTGGTGCTTCATAAATGCAACTAAATAAGAACTTTAGAAACGGAGGCCCCAGGGCTCACCTGGCCACATACCTGGATGCGATCGGAGTAGTTATCCAGGAGCAGGACACCGAGGCTTGTCACCTTTTTGGTTTCTACCATGGTCTTGAGGTCCGCCAGGAGATTCATGTGTTTGGACATATCTGTGGCCAGCACCTGGGGACAGGCCAGGGAGGGTGACAGCATGAGGACCCAGCTGCCCTGCTTCCCACCTCTAGAGGCCACCCCCACTGAGACCCCTCTACCATCAGAGCCCCCGGGTCCTCATCTGTGAAATGGGAGGGTATGATGAAGGATTCATTGCAAAAATAGCTCAGAAGAGGGACACGATCAGTGGCCCCTTCTCTGGGCTCACTGGGCTCAGCCAGGCATCCCTCATGTGTGACAGGGTGACACTCAGCAGCTGAGATGACTTGTACCAGAGGGTAGCCCCAAGGCTCCGCAGAGGCCGTGTCCTGTGCAAAGGCCCTGGGGTTGAATGAGTTGGGTGTGAACATAGAGGAGGTTGGGCTGGAGTCAGTGAGCACAAGAAAGATGGAGTTGAGGGGGCAAAGAACATGGGGGTGGGAGGTGGAGCACCTATGGAGAGGGTCATGGGATCTATGGGAGGGTTTGGGGTTGGGGACCTGGCGTGGCCACTGTGTGCCCTGAAGGACTATTTTCAGCCTTTTGTTGGGCAGTTCAGCCCTCAGCACAGCTGTTAAATTAAGTCAAATTAATGGGACCTGTGGATCCAGCTCAGGAGTGAGCCACACACGGCCACATTCCGAGACCTGAATACAAGTCTCAAAACTTCTCCCCAAACACTTGATCGGTACCAAATGCCACCCCTACTGTGGCTCCGCCACCAAGTCCCTCTTCACCTCGCCAAACCCCAGCCGCTCCTCATCCCAGGCCCTGGCTTCCTCTAGACCGTCCACACATGCTGTTCCCTCTGTGGGGAACACACCTCCCCATCCACAGGGGCCTGGCTCCTGTGTTCCCCACACTAGAGGCCCTCCTTGGCCCCTCCGCCATCTGCACCTCTCAAATGCTATATGGCTCTGCTATGATCCATCTCCCCCAGGGACCATGAATCTCAGAAATTAGGCCAGAACTGTCAAGGTGATCGGCACAGGCCAAGCACACAATAATAGCTCAATAAATGCTTGTTAAATGAATAAATGAGAAACAATTTCCCCAAACTCCCCAGAGTCCTCCTGGCTAAATAAAGTCCAATGGATGGATGTTACTGTAAGGCTGAGAAAAAGCCGCGGCCCCAACGCCCAGGAGCGCGGTCTCCACTTGCTCACACACAAATGGCCTGAGGAGCCAGACGGATGGTCCCACCCCACCCAGGGCTCCAATGTCATCACCCCATTTCACAGATGAGGAAGCTGAGGCTCAGCGCGGGGACACGCCTGGGTCCAACTGAACACCGGGCCACGCGACTCCCCCGCTATTGGGCGCAGAGGATAAGGGAGCCCCCGCTCCTCCTGCCGCCCAGCCACCGTGGCCCCACCATGTCGATGACCATCCTGCGCAGACTCAGCCGCTGCTTGGCGCCGAGATTCTGGAAGATGTCGCAGTTCGGAGCCTGCAGCAGCTTGAAGCCCACGGCCAGGTGGTGGTTCTCCAGCACCGAGGCGTCATTGTACATCAGCGCCAGCTCCGAGTCTGCGCGGAAGCCGGGAGCCTGAGACCCGAAGGCGCCACTCCAGTGCCCGCCTCCCCGAAGCCACCCAGGCCCCGGCTCCTCTGGCCCTGCAGGGCTGGAGGTGTCTTGTCCCTGGCTGAATGACGGCCGAGTGTTGGTCTTAATGGAACATAGGGTAAGTGAAAGGCTCCGCTCTCAGCCCCAGCACACCACGGCCTGCATACAACAGGTGCCCAATAATTGCTTGTCACAGCCTCCTCAAAGTTCCCCAAACTTAAGGTTTAAAGCAGGGCACTGTGGTGCACGCCTGTGATCCCAGCCACAGGGAAGGCTGAGGCAGAAGGATCACAAGTTCAAGACCAGCCTCCACCATGCAGCCAGGCCCTCAGCAACTCATGGGGACCCTGGCCCCAAATCACAGAAAAGGCTGGGGGTGGGGCTCAGTGGTAAAGCGCCCAGGTTCAACCTCTGGTATCGCAAAAAAAAAAAAAAAAAAATCAGTGGGCCCAATGGGCTCTGCCTCAGCTCATTCTCTCACTTATTGAGCACTTACTGTGTACCAGGTCCCTGAGTGCTTGTGCAAGGGAAGGCTGGGCTCAGAGCAGAGCTGGGGTCAGCCTAAAACCACCCGGTGGTCGCTGTGGGGCAGGCTCCACCCCTCCCCGCAGGCCCTGCCCCTCCCCTGCAGGCCCCTCCTCTCCCTGCAGGCTCCGCCCATCATTTCAGGCCCCGCCTATCCCTGCAGGCCCCGCCCTCTCCCCCTAGTGTCCCCCCCACCCCAGACTCACTGGTGTTGATGAGGAACTGGTTGGAGACCCCGGGGTGGTCCACGTCGTGGATGGCACTTGCAAAGATGGCAGCCAGGACTTCCAGGTCTGTGAACACGGCCTGAGAGGCCCAGGGCGGGAGAGGTGACCGGCGGGCACTCGGCACCCTGCACCTGCCCAGCCGTCCCAGCCGCGGATACCTCCAGGGCAGGCGTGGCCAGCAGCACATGCGCAGACTGGGCCACGTCGGCGGCGTGCAGGCTGTTGTGGTAGGCCACGTCGGCGTGGTAGTGACCCTCCAGCGTCAGCAGGTAGGTGGCCAGGGTGTCAGCCGGGATCTGGAAGGTCTTGAGCAGGTCCCGTTCCTGGTCCATCACAGGCCGGTCAGGGCCGCAGGCACAGCCCCTGCTCCTCCTCGGACCCCGCCCAACCTCACATGTGCCCCCGTCCTCCCCTGAATCCCTGCCCTCTCTGTCCTTGTCCCCTGCGTCACATCCCCACGGAACTGCTGGTGTCTGTGTCCAGATGTCCTCTCCTGATGGAGTCCCTTCAGGCCCAGGCCCAGGCCCGGAGCTGGGCTTGTTGAGGATAAATCGTTGGCCCAGTGAACTCCTACTCGTCCCTCAATACCCTGCTCACATTGTCCCATTCAGGGGGGTCAGATTGGAAGAGATGAGTGTCCCTGGGACTCAGGGCAGGATCAGGGGAAGGAAACCCGAGGGCCTGGGGGGCAAAGGCAGGACAGTACCTGAAAGATGCTGAATATGACGGCTGTCAGCGGCCTGTTCCCGCTCAGCTCCGCCACCTTGAACACATCGAGGCCCCACCTGTTGGTGTCTTCCAGCTCCTAAGATGTGAGGGACCGAGCTGACCCCTCTGGCTCCCCAGGCGTGGTGCCCACCCCCAGGGGCACACTGGGCTCACCGCCCGGCACAGGCCCGGGAGGGAGCACCCCCGCCGAGCCAGGGCTCAAGCCTGGGCCTCCACCTCGCGGCCGGGGACCCACCTTGGCCAGCTGCCCCTCCTCGTCGGTCTGGACCCCAAAGCGTGGGACAGTGGCTGCAGAGAGGCTGGCGCTGTGGGGGAGCCCACGGAGGCCACTGATCTCGGACATGGGCCTCTGGGATTCCTCGGGGGCCGCCCTGGGCAGCTCGACCTCCGTCTGCTGGTCTGTAGGCGCAGAAACCGGGTCACCAGCTGGGACTGTCCCGTCTGGCCTCCGGCTCTGCAGCGAGCCAAGCCCTGGGTCCCCCTCGTCATTTTTATCTGGACCACAATAAGCTAGAGGAGTAGGGTCCCGTCCGGCCCTTAGCTGCCTTCTCTGCCAGTGAGCTCCGGGCTGGCCTGGTTCCTGAGCACCTGGGCTCACGTTTCCCAAACACACCAGTGTCCTTTACATGTCCCAACCTGCAGCTCCAAGTGTTGGGCTCCCTCCCGCTCCTCCTTGGCAAACTCCTACTGATGCTTTAAAACCCCAGCTGCAGTGCCCTTTCCTTCTGGAAGTCCCCCCGTGCAGCCTTAGTCCCATGGGGCCATCTGGCGGTCCCCTGCATGTTGGGGTTGGTGACAGCAGCCTGTCTTCCCCCTCCTTCTTACGACCTCTCCAACCCTGCGCGGGCAGTGACCTCGCAGCTCACCCAGGAAGGTTCTGGAGATGTACTCGGACACCTGGTTCCCAGAGCGGCTGGATTCCGACAGGTGGGTGAGCTCCCGGTTCAGCATCCGCTTGAACTGTGGGCGGGGGCAGGACGTGAGGAGGGCCCGTGGGCGGGGCTGCAGTCACGCTCTGGCTCGGGTGGCCCTCTCACCTTGTTGGAGGCCATCTCCCCGACCGAGTGCCGCGTCTGCAGCGTCTCTAGCTGATCCAGACACCAGTCCAGCTCCTCCAGGGTCTCCAGGGCCAGCTTCTGCCCAGAGTCTTCTGAGGGCCAAGTTGGTCAGGGACCTGTCCCACCCCTACTAGGGGACCCAGTGCCCTTTATGCCTCCATCTCTGCTCTGGACCCTGGAACCCTTCCCACTGGGGATGCTCAGGACCCCAGTTCCAGATCTATCTGTAAGTGGCTGTGTGACCACGGGTAGGTCTCTTGCCCTCTCTGGGCCTTAGCCTCCCCATCTGTAATATGGGAATGGTGGACTCCATTTGCCAAGAAGTTTCTTTGCAGGAGGGGGAGGGTTGTCAGGGTTACAACAGCCACAGTGCAAGAGCTAGTGGGCTGGGGAGGTCACTGCAGAGAGGAAGTGACAGCTGTCTCTCCGTGGGGGAGGGGTGGGAACAGGCATTACCTGCAGGTGGAGGGGGCTGACTGCTGGGTGGAGGGTTCCCGACAGATGCCTGCCTGAGGTTACAGTGGGCTCAGGGGTAGCCCCCACCTGGCCCCGCCCCCACGTCCTCCAGGCCCCGCCCCTCAACCCCACCTGAAGGTGCCTGAGCCCCAGCCCCTACTTGTCTCCCCTTTTTAAAATCTCTTGCTTTCTTGCGGGGTTGGGGGTTGAACCCAGGCCCTAGCGCATGCCAGGCAAGAGCTGTCCCACTGAGCTACAGCTCCAGCCACCTGTCGCCTGCTTTTCTGCCTCCGCCCTCCCACCTGCCCCACCCCTGCGTACTTGACTGCACCGTGGACTTGGCCTTGGGCAAGGGCTGCCACGTTGCTCCGAACTGTCTTCAGACTGGCGAGGACCTGTCGGGTGACAGGTGGTCAGAGGTGGCAGGGAGCTGAAGCCTGAACGTGGTGGGGGTGCGGGAGGAACCCACCTGGGCAAAGGGCGTCACTATCATGTCTTCTCCATGTCTGCGGGGGATGGGGGGACGGGCCATCAGGAGACCGTCTTCAGCCTGAGCGCACCTCCCCTGGAGACTCCTCCCGACCTCATCTGGCCCCGGGCCTCCTCCCCCACTCTCCCTGGGAACCCCGCAGCCCTCCCGCCAGCGCCTCGCTTTATCCGCTTTTCCCCAGTGGGGAAACCGAGTCCCGGGGGCAGTGGGGATCTTAGTAGAGTCTGGACAGAAACGGTCGTATTTCTCTTTTCATTACTGGTACCAGGAAGCTCAAATCAAAGTATTTGTTCACTTGCTGATAATTGGCCTTAATGTGTCCAGAATGCCACCCCCGCCCCCAGCCCCAGGAGCACACAGATCACCTGAGATCCTCTGCCGCACACTCTACTGAATAAGGTAACGGCCTGGCGAACTCCTACTTAAACTCCAAAATCTAGCTCAAATGGCTCCCAGAAGGAGCTGGCTGGGTGGAGAAGAGGAAGGGTGGGAGTGGTCACCCCAGCAGCCCTGACTCACAGGTCGCTGGCCACGGAGGAGTTCCGGGACAAGGCCTTAGGTGACAGTTCATAGTCGCTGTCCGAGCGGTACAGGAAAGACTCTCGCCGCTGGCTGTGGGGGGCCGGGGCCTGAGCCCCACGTCCAAGGCCAGCCCCGGACTGAGGGTCCAGGACAGTCCTTCCACGCGACAGCCCATTTTCCAGATCAAAGCTGAAGGCAGAGGAGGTAATGGTCAGAGCACAGGACCCTGGCAGCTGGGTGCCTGGTGGCGGTGGGCGCCTCCCTGGGTGGCACTGTGGCCACCTGCCCCCGGCTCCGCAGGGACCGGGTAACCCTCACACCTGCTCTGCGTGTCCACCCGGACTCTTCCCACTTGGGCCTGGACTCCAGGTCCTGGGTTCCAACGTTCCTCAAAGTGGCCGTGTGACCCTGGGCAGGTGTTTTCCCTAGACCTAGCCACCCTGTCCCTAATATGGGCGTGTTAAACTCGGTCCCCAAGGGCTCTCGGGGGTCACATCTGAGCGCCCTAGAACAGTGACTGGGCATCTGTATAGCAAAGATGCAACTAAGGGTAGGTCCCAGGGTAAGTCCACCTGGAGTGAAAATGGCCCTGGGCTCTTCCACCTGGAAGGGTCAGATCCGCCTACATAGCACACTCCCCAGGGCTCCTCATACCAGAGTCCCCACCCAGAGCAGCCTTGAGCACACCCTTAGGCCACCCAACAACGGTCCAGGCTCCACCCTCATCCCTCACGGCCCCGCCCCCTGGCCGTCGACCACGCCCCATCTTCAGTTTGCACTCATCCTGTTCCTTTCAGCCCCCGGACCTTCGCACAAGCTGCTACCTCTACCCTGAGCACCGTCATCCCCAACACCCCCTGCTCCATTCAAACTCCAGGTCTTTGTTTTCCCCCACCACACCTCCCTGGGCAGAGGGATCTATGCCCTTCCTCTTGGGATCAGAGGTCCAAGAAAGTGCTGAGATGTAGGCGACCTTGGGGGTCAAGGGCTTTTGAGAAGATGAGGACCGGACAGCTGAGAGGAGGAGAAATCGGCACCGCCCAGATTCCGAGCTCCTACCCAAGGGCCTGAATCCACCTGGTCCCTCACTGTGACTCTACCCTGGTCGCAGGGCCAGACCGACACCCATCAGGAGGCTCTGGGCAGGGGGCAGCAACGTTTAGCTCAGATAGTGGGGGCGTGGGGGATTCTGCACGATTCGGTTCTGCTGGGCCAGATTCGGTCGTGTCTGGTTGGCTCAGATCACACAGGGTTGGACCTCTTCACCGGGAGTTGGGTGGAATGATTTCGATCAGCTTCGGATACTTCCGGCAATCCTGGCAGGTTCGAATGAGTTCGTGTTTCTTCGGCGAAGTCCGGACACGCTCGGCTGCTTCGAGTAAGTCCGGGTAGCGCTCGGGCCAGGTCGGGAACATTCGGCTCAGTCCAGTCGCACTCGGGGAAGTTCGGCTGCCCTCGGCTTTTTCCGCCAGATTCCTTCGGGTTCCTGCGCTCCGACAGGTTCCCCAGGGCTGGGGAGACCAGAGTCTCTCCGTGACGTCACGTAGCGGGTGGCTTGTAACCCCTCCGAGCCCTTGGCACCCGCGCGTGGTGGCGGGCTGGGAGACGCTGCTGGCTGGCGGCGGATACCCCAACTTGTCCTCCGAGCGGGGAGACCTGCAGATGGCGACCCCCCTGTCCCTCTTTCACCGATCCCCAAAGGTTATGGGAAAGCGTGCCTGGGGACAAATAGAGAAACTGAGGCAGGGAACAGCTGTAGGGTGCTGTGTTCAAGTCCGAATCCCGGACGCCGAGGGTTAAGGGCAGCGCCTGGCCTTTCCTGGGGCGGGGGGTGGCTGTTTTTCTTTCTGCTCTAAACTTAGCCGGGGGCGGCGGGGTCAGGCGGTGGTTCCATGACGCGGGAGGTGCGGGGTGAGGTCGCTCTGGCTCTGGGAACTGCGCGGCTGCCCATTGGTCAGATCGGTAAACCGAGGCCTGGGGACTCAGGGCTCCTGGACCTCGGAGGTTTGGGGGCAGCCTAGACGCCCGGGTCCTGCTTCAGCCTCACTTTACCCCCCGGGTGTACCCCGGGTCCCCGCTCTGAGCCCTCGGAAGGTACCGCTCTTCATTGGTGCCTGGTATCCTGATGTCGCTCTCTGGGACCCGGGACCCCATATCCAGTCTGAAATGGCACCATCAGGGATCACAGTCACACCTCCCTCTGCCCAGCTTGTCACTCTCTGGCGATGTGACCTTGAAGGAGACCTCCTGTCTCCGAGCCTCTGGGTGCCAGATTGCCAAGTGGATATGAATTGGGTGCGAAAAGAACGCAGGGTGCCAGCCACACTCGGCGCCCACAAGACCCAGCCTCGACCCACTGGCCCACGAGGTGACATTTGCTTGGCGAAGAGCGGGATTTGAACCCAGAGCCGTGGACCTCCTCAGAGCTGCAGCTGAACCGGGCTGCAGGGAACCGGGCTGGGAGCGGACGCGGTCCACTCTCAGCCTGGGAAAGGGACACTCGCCCTCCTTCTCCTTATGTCCCGAACATCCTGCCCGCATCAAATCGAGTCTTGCTCGGTGGACACCCCGGGTTCATTGTGCGGCCCCCAGATCATCTCGTTGCTGGCGCTGGGATGGCCGCGGGGGTGGGGAGGCCAAGGACGCAGCCTTCCTCTCCTCCCTCCCCAGGGCGCTCAACCCTCCGGTCCCAGGCCAGCGAGGGTCAGGAGAGACGTGAGCCTCCGCCCGTCCTGCTCTGGGCCACACAGCTGGGAAGGGACAGTCGGCCGGTCCCCTGGGCGCGTGTCTAGGCGGTGGGTGGAGGAGGGAGACAGAGATGGGGAGGGAGGGGGGGGGAGAGAGAGTCACAAACTGACGGAGAGCGAGGGCCGGGGGACAGAGACGCTGCGAAGGGAAAGAGGCCCCGGCTGCCCTTGGATCTGCCCTTCAGGCCTCCGCCCCGCCGCCCGGTGACCCTCCAGCCCCCGTCCCGCCTCACCACAGGGGATGGGCCACCGTGAAGCGCCGCTGCAGGCGGATGCTCTGGTTCACCAGGAGCTTCCTGAAGAGCCCGGGGGAGCCTCGCGGGGAGCCCCGAGGGGAGCCGGGCCCAGGGGCCGGGGCTGGCGCAGGGGGACCCTGCATGGCCAGGACCGCGTGGAGGCTGGAGCGAGCGGTCGCCGCTCGGGACCTTTTCTGGACAGCCTCGGGGGCGGGGCCCAGCGGGGAGGGAGAGAGGGCGCAGCCACCCCGCCCAGTGGCTGAACCGCTCGCTGGTGACCCATGGGACAAACGGAGAAACTGAGGCACGGAGTCCGATAAGACTCTGCTCCCCTGCTTAGGAGGTGGCCCCTTGGGGACAGAGCCTGGTCTTACGCCACTTCCTTCTGCACGTCCCCCCTGGTGCGGCTGGCGCGCGCTAACCGCGGGGTGTAAGATGAGGAAGTGAGAAAGGGATGTCACAGATGCCGGGGGCCCTGCTCGCCATCAGGAGGAAGGTCACTGAGGCTGGGAGTTCAACAGGGGCTGGGCAGAGCCACTGGCCTGTCCAGCCTCCCCCGTCCATTTCCCTGATGGAAAGGGCTCCCAAAGGCTGCTGGAAATACAACCCTCCATCCTGGGGCGCATGGGGAAACCGAGACTGGAGAGAGGTGGCAGGGCACAGCCTTCCCTGCAGGGCCAGCTCCGCTCCCCCGCACCCCCCAAGTCCCCGCATGACCCCCGCCTGCTCTGACATTCTCCAGGCCCCGTCTCTGGATGCCTCCTTCTCCCCAGGACAAACATCCGCAGTCCACCTCCCGCCAAGCCTTCCGCCCCGTGACGCCCTTCAGCTCCTGTCCCCATCCCAACTGCAGAAGGACCCCACTAGCATGAGAGGGTGGGGCCTGGTGTCTGAGGCGATCCAAGCATCTGTGCTGGGTGTTCTGCCCTGGAGACATTGGGGCCAGACTGGTCCGGTTCCATGCTACACAAGAGGAAACTGAGTCTCCACGGGTGTCACAGGCATGGGAGAGACAAGGAACAGCCACGTGGCAGGCAGAGGCCAAGGTGACCTTCCAGCTGAGGCTACACAGAAGGCCGTGGGCCTCACGGAGCCCCTTGCTGAGGGAGGAACCCCAACCCCTCAGCCTAGGCCCGGCCCTGGCTGTCCCCAGTGAAATGGCAGCCTCGGTCCTCGCATCAGAGACCCGATTCCATTAATCACCGGGAGAGGCCGAGGAGACCACGCCACACTGGGAATGTTATTCTCCCCATTGCACAGATGAGAAGACGGGGGCCAGCAGCCCTGGGGGATGGAGAGTCGCAGGGGTTTGGCCAGAAACCCCCTTCAGGCCACCAAGCTCTGAAACCAGACACCTGGCAGAAACCAACCTCACTGACCCCAAGACAAAAATACCATCTGTACCTAATTATAGCCAGTCCCCAGGGGACAGAGGCCACCAGGCTCCGACTGGTAGAGATGCTGGGTCAGGGGCCAGGGGCCTTGACACAACCCTAGCCTGTGGAAGGGGCTCACAGGGCTTCCACATCTCCAAGGAGAAACTGAGGCTCAGAGTGACTCAGTCCCTTCCCTGAAATCACACACAAGTGGTAGATTAAGACTCATTGTAATCTGACAGCCGGGCGAGGTGACACCAGCCTATAATCCCAGCGGTTTGGGAGGTTGAGACAGGAGGATCGCAAGTTCAAGCCCAGCTTCAGCAACTTAGCGACTCCTAAGCAACTCAGCCGGTGACTGAGTGGTGACGTGCCCCTGAGTTCAATCCCCGGTATCAATCAATCAGTCAATCAATCAAGAGTGAATATAATCATTGCGTTTCTGATGTACCCAGCACACAGCCAAGAGCTGTGAGGCCCAGAGAGGTGTGGTCTCAGGCCTGAAGTCACACAGCCAGAAGCAGCAGGGAGAGGTTATTTGAGCCAAGCCACTGGGCTCCCCAACCTCTCCCCTCTCCCACTTAATTTGTTAATTGGCTTTATCCTCTCCACAGTCCCAGAGGCTTCCCTGTCATTAATATTTTATCAATAGTTGTAATGTTAATGTTTTATTAATAGATTTGATAAATATTTCATTAACAAATTGACTCATGTGTGATTAATAGCCTTTAACATAGAGAAACTGGCTGATGCTGTGGCCACACCTGTAATCCCAGCTATTCAGGAGGCTGAGGCAGGAGGATTGCAAGTTTGAGGCCAGCCTCAGCAACTTAGACCCTGTCTCAAAAATTTTAAAAAGGGGGCCATGGGGACTGTAGCTAGGTGGTAAAGCACTGGCCTCGTACGAGGGAGGCTCTGAGTTCTATCCCCAGCAAGGGGGGGGGGCAGAGGGGAGGAGGGAGACAGCCACAGGGTGGTCTCTTCCGCAGCACATAAACTAAAATTGGGATGACAGCCCCCAAGGGGGCCTGGCCCACCTGAGCTTGGATGGCACCCAACCTTGCTGGGTAGGTGGCCAAAGCTGCTGGGTGGATAGGAGGCCCCCAGCCTGACTCTGTTCCTGTGCCGTCCACTGAGGAGGTGCCCAATGGTGTCTCGTGCCCTTAACACATCAGTACCTCCATTTCTCCCATTTGAGCACTTTTCTCCTCGGCTACCAGGTGGCCCCAGAGAGAAGGGGCACTGAGGTCGGGGGAGGAGAGGTGACTGCCCAGCTCCCTGTGGAGGGTTCAGGCAGTTCCAGGAGGTGGAGGCCGGTCAGTGGGCAGATCAGCCCCTTCCCTGCTCTGGATGCTTCCGTGGCTCCCTGTCACCCTCAGATTTGATTCCACGCCTCCCCAGAGGCCCCGTGTAACCCCCTCCGCTTAGCTCCTTTCTGCCCTGCTTCCCCGGCCCCCGCTGCCCCTCGCCCCCCAGCCTCATTCCTACCCTGTGACCCTTCAGCTGTCCACAGCTGGGACACCATCGGCTCCAGGAAGCCCCTCCCGGCCAGCCAGAGATGTCTCTCGGCACGCCTTCCTGTTCCTGTCTCGGGACGATCTCACATTTCTGGCTGTGATTATTTGATCTGTGTTTGTCCCCTTGCCCAGCCTGTGACTCCCTTGAGGGCAGGAATCGGTCTGCCTTGTTCTCAGCTCAGTCCTCAGCACCTGGCATTCAGTAGGTGCTCAATAAATGCTTGTCACAAAAACATAAAGCCTCCCCTCCACAGTTATCTGTTTTCAGCTCCTTGTACACACGATCCTCTTGAGTCTGAGGCTTTGCACATTCTGCTCCTTCTGCTTGGCACACCCTTCCCTGCACTCACCTAGTTGACCTCTTTCATGCTTTGGGTTAAGCTTAGATGCTGCTGCTTCCAAGTAATCCTCCCTGACTCCCCCTCCTGCAGGCTGGGGTCACACACAAGTCTACTTCTGGTGTCGTGAGTGATCTCGCCAGATCACAGCACAAATCACCCAGTGAGGGCTGGCACACAGTAGGTGCTTAATAAATGCTTTTCACGAAAGATGTTCGGACCTTCCAGACCCTTGTGATTCAGCAGGAGCTGAAGGAAGGCACAGCTGGGAGCAACTTCGGCCTAGGCCCTGGGCAGAGTGTTCACCTCACAAGGCAGAGGCCAGTGCAGACCACCACTTGCTCAGGGGCACCTAGCAGTCGGCCTTGGGCCTGGCCTTGAACTTGATTTCCCTGGGCCTCCCTCAGGTCAACACTTTTATGTACTGACAGGCCACACAGGGGCATGTAGGCACGCCACATCCGCAGGACCGCAGAGCCAGGATTGTAGCACAAGGCGGGTGTGTACACACACACTCACACACACTCACACGCTCACACGCTCACACACACACTCACACACCCCACACATTCACACTCACATACCCACTCACCCCCCACCCCCCACACACCCTCACACACATTCACACACACGCACTCACACAGCCCCCTCACACTCACCCCCACACACTCACACACATTCACACTCACCTACCCACAACACACCCACACACACACATTAACACACACACACTCACCCCCTCCACACAGTCACACACACATGCACACACCCACATGCACTCACACTCACACACTCACGCGCACACACAGACTTTCACACACCCACACACACTCACTCACACACCCACACACACACACACACACGCTCACACACACGCTCACACACACACTCACGCGCGCACACACACAGACTTTCACACACCCACACACACACACACACGCTCACACACACTCACTCACACACGCTCACACACACACACACTCACACGCTCTCTCTCCCAGAGCCATACAATCCGCCATTCAGATCTTCAGAGCCACGTGGGGTCTCCCCCTAGACAGGCTGTTTGTTCTTTCTTGAAAATGGAAAATCATGAGTCACAGGAAGGGTGGGGAGGGAGGAGCCCGGGGCTGGGGAGGGGGCAGGGCCTCGCGGTCACCTGGAAACAGCTCTGGGCCCTGGGACCCATCTGGCCCAGATGCTTCCCAGGGTCCTTGGAGGGTCAGGCTGGAGGCCGCTGCCAGGCTCATTGATTAAGAAACCCATGGCCCCAGGTAGCCGATGGATGGCACAAAACCAAGCTCAGAGAAGAGGGTGAGCCACTCAAGTTCACAGCGAGGACTTGAACCTGGAAACCTGGTCTGGCCTGGTTTGGCTCCTCCAGGAATCCAAAGAAGCCGGAGGATCTGGGCCCTCTTCCTTGGCCTTACAGCCCCCACCCAGCGGGTGGACACCCCCACACCTACCCCCAGGGGTTCTCACCCCTCCCTGTCTTCCTTCCCTTCTTCTCCACCCCGCCTGCCTGCCGTCCCCAGCACCAGATCCTGGAGCAGGAGCCAGCCCTCCCTTCTTAGGTGGAAGAAACGTCCAGTGCTCTGCTCCCCAGGGGCTTCCCTCCTGCTGCAGGAGGGCAGGGCGGAGGCCACAGGGGCCACAGAGCTGCGCCCTGCCCAGCACGGCCCACCCTGGCCTCCCACAGTCGTTGGAGCACCTAGGGCCATCTTAGATGCTCACAGTGGCCACATTCCCCCCCTGCAGACACCTGCAGATATCCCAGGGCCTAAGGAGCACTGGGACGCCCAACTGGAGCAGAGCAAGGACTACCACCCACCCAGACACCCCAGAGGGCAACTCCGGCACCTATCCAAGTTCACAACGGCTGGTGGCCCCCGGACTCTCCCGCAAAGGCACAACGCAAACACATGGGGGTCACCCAAGGTGGCACGGGTGACTGTGGACTCACACAGCAGGTCTCACCGGACACGAGGGTCACAACTGCTGCGACTCTCTGCACACCTACATGCCCGGGCACACTGGGACCCAGCCCCACCTGGGCGCAGGGTGTCCCGCAAACCCGCAGGAAATCCCGGCCCGCGCGCCCAGCCTCAGTTCCACTTCGTGCAGGACAGTTTTGTCCCCCGAGCGCCGCCTCCCGCCACCCGCAGCGAGA